ACCTCCTTCCAATATTTGCAATCTCAAAAAAACCCATTTGCATACTGTGCATTGGCTACTGTGTCGTGGACGCACAATATCTGCCTGTAACATAGGCAGCGCAAAGTGCGTAGGACGTGTAATCAGGAATTTCAAACATGTGGCGCTGAGGGCAGATCGCATTGCACGAAACTCCTGAAGGGACAGATGTTTAAAATATATGCTCTTTCCCCAATATCCACAATGTTTTGTATTGTATTTTGTATTATATATGTCTGATTGGGTTGAAACCTTTCAGATAGTTAGGATGGGAAGGTTTACAAACGGAGATTGACTTCATGTGATAACAATGTCATCAGCAGAGGAGTCACAAGACATTAAATATGCATTCTTTAAAGTACTATTTCTCCTGAAATGCCTGTCTGATTGGGTTGAACTTTGGCAGGTATTTAGAAAGGGAAGTGTTATAGATGAAATTGACCTCATGTGGTGATGATATCAGATGATCATGTCATGTGACATTAATAGTGCACTATTCAAAGCACTATATCTCCCGAAGTGCATGTCCGATTGGGTTCAAACCTTTCTGATATCTTGGGAATGAAGTGCTTTAGATAAATATTGACCCCACGATGATGACTTCATCAAATGACAAGTCAGGTGACAGTAAAAGTGCAATACTTAAAACTCTATATCTCCTGAATTACATGTCCCATCAATTTGAAACTTTGCTGATAATAAGGAAAAGAAGAGTTCTAAATGAAAATTTACCAGAGGTGATGATGAGGTTATGAGATGAGGAATCAAATTACATTTTATTTAAAACAAGTTATTTCCTGTAGTGCATGCCTGATTGGGTTGAAACCTTGGAGCTTAATGGTAATGATGAAATAATTACGCCATCAGGTTTGTGCAGTAGATTGGTTGTTCAAATTAACAAATGGAATGCGAAAAAGCCCTGTTCTGTTGGCCGACAGATAGATGAGCTTTATTTTCTTCTTCTTCCTGTTGTGGTTGTTCTTCTCTCAAAACCCTGTTTCTTTTGTAAACAGTTTTGGCACCACTTTAGTCCCTTTATAATTTTCAACCTTCTTCAAAGTTGCCTAAAGTAAGGACCCTATAGCAAACATGTTCCCCGAAACATGATGTCATGATAACGTCATCACCTGATTTTGTTATTGAATGTTGAATTTTTTTTTCAATAGGTTTTGTACATGTTTTTAACTGCGAGAATGGCATAGACTTTGACCATTTCACAAAATGAAACTTGGTCCAAGCAAAGACCATATGATGAACATAGAAGCATGATGTCACTTTGATATCATAATTAGATTTATGATTTAATTTTGAAGATTTAATTTGTCCAATGACTTTGTAAACACTTTCAAACCTATTGACTTTGTACATGTACACATGTACACATGTACACATGCAGTTTATACTATGCATGCACAATTCGTTGTTAGCGTTGTTGCACAGGCTTTTTGCATGATTTGTAGTTAATTTGGCTTGGTTCTGAAAAATGCATGCAAAATATCAAGGTAAATAAACTCTAAAGATTTTATGTCAGGCCTCAACCAATAGTTTAAAGCAGTACTCAACACAAATCATTACTGTATTTGCGTGGTCACGTCAACACATGGACTCAATTGGGAGATGTTTTCGAGGGGCCCCTGTGTTTAAATTCTTTTGACCTCAGCTGGGACCTCCGGGCCTGAAATTGCATGAATTACTTGCTTAGAAGAGTCCAAAGTAGTCCAACGAAAGCCAAACTAAAACAAAATGCATGCACCGGAGCAAGAAATTGCAGAACGAGTTGACATCGAATAGGCATGATAACAATGATCGTGAACATGGGTGCACCCAACAAGTGCTCCTTTTCAAATGCTCCTGTTACAGTGTAATTAATCATTACAGTGCAACAAACTTGGTCATTGAAAACAGTAGTTTGGTACAAAATTTATCTGATCACTCGTGAAACAAATAACTAATTATTTTGATACCTCTGTACATTCCGTCTGACTGATTTACTGAGGTCTACTTTAATGAAACACATGGTGTCAGTTGAAAGGCCTGATTTAAAACTTAAATGGGTTCAAACAAGTATATTTGGTTTTCTGACCTGCGCTGGCAACAAGTCAAGGATGGATTTGTGCCGGGGAGATGCAAATTAATTTTGGATTTTTTTCCCTGTTCGACATGTATTTTAACAGTGTGTAGTGATTGTGCTTGATAGAATTCAAATAAACCATTCAAGCATGTCCGCGGCTGGTCAGCGAGAGCCGGCCAACCACAGGGCAGTCTTGTCTCCGGTAAGCAATACTGCCAGATGTGTGTCCGTGTGTGTTACAGTGGACTCATGAGACTCACCCCATAGTACGCCGGTGAATTACATTGGCAATGAGACAAATCATTGTGAGTATATCCCGGAAGGAAATGTCTAATTGCCACCAAAATGTTCTTTGAGCTATTTACCGATGTATCTCTGCATTTGGTATCGGTAGATTTAGGATAATATTTTTTCTTTATCAACAAGTCCCGGCATTTGTTGGGACTGTAAAAAAAAAAGTTGAAGTAGTTATGAATAAATAAGGGTATTTTGACAAAAAATCACGCTGTTAAACCTACTTGCTTTTAAATTGTATTTGATATGTCTAGATATACCTAAGGAATCTGCTGTGAAGCACTTTTGTCAAAAATCTTTGGAGAATAAGCATCATCTGTTCAACAAAACTCATTCACAATTTCTCCAAACGCTACTGCAAATTAGGTCAACCTGTCGTAATTTCAATCACTCCCAGCTGGGGCGTTTGCATTTGCAATAGGAAGTGGGTGATATGGCATTTTGCTGTCCAAGTTTATAGCAGATTTCAAACACTCTGTAACTTAAATAGTTTGTAAGTTGTATTAACTAATTCATCTAAACGTGGCTATCAACATAAATGAGACATTCGTTAACCCCTTGATGACAGGTTTTTCTTCCCAAAAGCCGACACCAAGAATTCCAGCCTCGCTTGGCCACAAAGGCCACTTGCCAAACTGCAAATTCTTTTGGCCCTGCATGCTCTGCATGCTTTGAATTACACAGTGAAAAGTTGTTTGGTGGCATGCAGCTCTACTCATCCTTCCACATTCCTATTGCCTCTTTTCAATGTGGGGACTATTGTGAAGCTGGCGATTATGATGCAAATTCAGTCTTTTCATTTCTGGGCTACGCACAAAGACCAATTACCATATATACAAGAGCCAGGGTCTGCCTTCTTTCAGTGTGTTCGCTTGAGCGTGGGCCGAGAATAATAGCTGAAAAGTGGGCTGAGGATCTCAGTTTTTACGGCGTGTCTAGCCGCCTCGTCATGCGAAGGGGTTCAGCAACTGACAACCCTGCCAGGCATAGGGATAAAATTTGCAGAAACCATAGTATCATTAAGATCTAAGAAAGGATCTGTTACCAAAGATGACTTCCATGATTCCCCAAACCTGCAAACTAAACTGCACAAATTATTACATGAGAAAGGTCTAGTTTCAGTGAAATACAGTGCAGATGTTTCATCAGACAAAGACTTTAAAAATTCCAACCAAGAAATTAAACCAAAACACTAAAAAAAAAGCTACGGACCCCGTGACGATCCTAGCGAATCAAATAGGTGAATTAGGTAAAATAATCAAAGCGAACACCCCGGCAATAACTGGGGCCATAAACGAACTTAAAATCCAATCTGAAAATTCAGAATACCGACTGACGAACCTCATCGAGGGTAATAAAATCCCTAAGGATGCCATACCACAGTTGGAAATTTCCGCCTTACGAATGGACACAAAACCAATTTTGCCAACCATTGAGTCTCCTGCTTCAGTGAATGGAGCAATTTGATCCACCAGTGACCCAATAATAGACGCCACTCTGAAAACCATTGAGAAAAAGGCACCATCCTTACCACCTCACGTTCAAACCGAAACACATGCAATAGCTTTAGGCGAACAAAATGGACCTAATATTCCAACCGCTCCAACTGAACAAAAGCCCATTGTTGCTGGTGGCATTCCTGCCCCACCCATTGTGGCGCACAAATTCCAAGTCCCCAATCCAAATACAGTAGAACAAACTGCTGGGACAAGTGTGACGCAATCGTCACAACAGCAACTGCTAATAGCATCAAGTGCAACCGCGCGGCCAGCGATCCCGAAACTAGCACCTTACAATGGTTCCACTGATTTTTACGCATTTGCAACAAAATTCGACACAATAGCAAATTGCTGCCAATGGAATGACGAAACCAAATTAATTCAATTAGTTGGGGCAATAACTGGAAAAGCACTAGAAGTGTATCCTTTCCAAGAACCATCAATAAGGCAAAGCTACAACAGAACTAGGGACCAGCTGCTAAAAATGTTTGGCAGAAGAAAAGACCCAATCATTTACAGAGCGGAGCTTACATCATTCCGGCAAACTGAAGACGAGACTCTGCAGGAGTTTTGGCAGCAAGTGAGGCAGATAGCCACACAAGCTTACCCAACAGCGAACACATAAGTGGTCGAAACTCTTGCCAGAGAAGTGTTTTTGAAAGGTTGTTGTAACGCTCAAGCAGCAGAGCTACGTGCAAACACTGAACAACGCCGTACAGTGTACACGAACGGCTGCTCACAACCATAGACTCTTAGCGTGACAAGGTAGATCACAGATGAGACACGCTTCCTTCATTGACCCATCTCCAGCTGACGATAAGCCAGGTGTTTGGCAGGTTCAAATAAACCAAACTGGTAAAGACAAAGTTGACATCCATTTGGACTGGTCGGAAATGGATAGTAACACTCGTGAACTTATTTCTTGCTTAAAGGAAACTAATGTCAATCTGGTGGCCTCCCCACTGTGCCATACCACCACTTCAACTCATGTTTTTAGTTATACATGCCACTTTGGCAATTATTTGTAATCCAATTGATTGCAAATTTATGATACTCGTTGACGGTCATCAAAAGACAATAAAAAACATTTGGGGAACAGCTATGTGTTTGTTCACAAACACCACCTGTAGTTTTATTTCAAGATTTGGTGGTCCCCTTCAAATTTACAATGATCAGGGAGCAAGCTTTGTCCATGCTCCAATTGACAAGTAGAAAGATACAATTAAACCATCTTGAAAACTATGAGATGGCACTTTAGAGGAAGTGTTCAACCTGGTTTAACCCCAAACATACTTATGCTTGGAAGAGAGGTTATTCAACCAATAGAATTAGTTTTCGAACTTAAAGGTTGTACTGATAACATGCAAAATAAACCACTCCATGAATACGCCCAAAAGCTGAAAGATAATAAAATTACGGTTCATGCCCTAGCTAGAGAAAACAATGATGTCGCCCAGAATTATCAAAAGAAGAACTATGACCTGAACCAAAACTGTTATCAGTTCCAAGAGGGAGACCTTGTTTACAAGTTAAACAAAGCTTCCCATACTGGGCAGTCTTAGAAATTGCTGCATGTTTGGCAGGGACCACATTTGGTGGTAAAATCCATATCCCCAATACTTTACAAGTTGTGAGAAAACCGTGGTCGTTCACCACGATCTCCTTAAGAGGTGTGAAGATCATGACATTCCTTTTTGGTCGAGGCAATTGCGCAACAGGTTGATTGGGAATGGTGATCTTGAAGATGAACATGTCTATGACACAGATGATCATGCTTATAATTTGAGCCTTTTGGCCCAACCGTTTACAAATGCAAGCTCTTTCAAAGAAGCATACACTGTACATACTGCAGTTCCCGAGCCTAAAATCAGAACAAGGAGTGGAAGGGAAATTAACCGGCCTGCACACTACAGGGATGGAGTTTAGATTTCAGCGTCCTTTAAGGAAATATACTCTGTGATATTGTCAGATATTGATTTTTTTGTTTACATTTTCTGTACATTCACTATCCAGTTAACAAGAGCATCGACATTATCATTTGTATTTCCATGCAATAAAGCACTTTAACATTTAGATAAAAATACAGATAATAATAACTTTTAAATAAAAATATAATTGTAATAGAACAGTCTCTAGGAAAATTCAAGTATGTCAATGATTTTTAAAGTTTTACTTGCCAAATGCATGTATTTTCATAAGAAAAGGAAGAAGTGGACTTCATTCCTGACTACAATGAAGAAGGACTAGAAGACGAAGACACCGCTGAGCTGATTACCAGTGAAGCAAACAATAAGGATTCAGCAAACATAGGGAACGAGGTCATCTGTGTAGCGCCGAAAAAGAAAAACAAAACAGCTGTGCCCCCAGACAAGATGCAATGTTCACACCAATAAAATTAGAGGTCATGTTGTAAGGCATCATTTAGATGACGAAAAGCAGTGGTTATTGTTCCCCCTACTTTGTTGCTGGGAATGCAAAAAAAGGAAACTGCCATCCTTGTGCAATTTCACGGTCCATTTTGTACCCAACAACATATGCCATTATTAGCAAGTCTAATCACAAACTTCATTGAAGAAATCTCCCCAAGGCTGGGAGTGCCCCCCCACTGATTTTCTGGATTTTGTTGTCCGGCATCAGTTGGGTGATATTAATTCAGAATTTAGCGCGGATGAGTTGCGTGTGTGGGACGTGTATGACCAGTTTGTCGGGCTCCAAATAGAGCGAGAGAGGAGTCTGGCATCTCCCACGCAAATGCTGTGCTGCACTGGAAGACACTCCAACAGCTTTTCCTACTAGCCAATTAATTGCCATCACCATGTGTTTCCAGCAACCAAAACCCGCCTGTAGTCCCAACCCACACTACCCCTGAGCCCAAATGGAATCGACTCCCATTGTCACTTGGACAGGCTTCTGAAGGTCCCATGACACAAAGGAACCCTCTCTACCTTCATAAAAGAGCAGGCAATTGACACCACTGGATTCCTTGGCTGCGTTGCTGTTTTCTGTGATGAGGACATCTTGACAGATATTGACCACTGGACGGAGTTGATATCGGATAACTTCATTTTGCAACCGTGGGATTTCATCCTAAAAATGCCCCAAATCTCTCCATCAATACAGAAGAAACCATCCAATGCCTAAAGAGTCATCCAAAGGTCCTTGCGCTAGGAGAGATGGGGCTCGACTATTCTGGTGGATATCGTCGGCATAAGGCCGTGCAACAGTCCATCTTCAAATGCTTCTTCGGGATGGCTGTTGATTGGAATTTGCCAGTCGTAATCCATTGTCGGGATGCTGAGGAGGACTGCTTTCACATAATGACAGAAATCCTTCCCAGGCAGTGGAGAATTCATCTCCACTAATACACCAACAACTGGGAAGCCGCACAGAAATGGTGTTTGGCCTTTCCAAACCTGTGCTTGGGGCTGACACTCTTCGTAGCATGGAGAAGTGCTATCCCACTGGACAGACTCTTCCTTGAGACTGACACCCCACATTTTCCATGTCCACTTCAGCAACCCGACGATGGCACAGCTAGTCGCTCTGGAGATCGAAAATATAAAACATGTATTGGTAGAGGACGTCTTCTGTCATTGTTTAGCCAACACCAAATTGCTCTACTGGATCAAGTAACTTCAGTTAGTTCATTCCAGGTTTAGATAGTGTAGAGTGGAGGAATTATAACCTGCGTTGTCATGTAAACACCACTCTATATGCTTTCTTGTTGGAATGAAGATTATCTCCATTTTCTAAGAAACAAAAAAAAGAATATTTGAGAAAGTAGCAAAATATATGTTGGGAAAAGAAATAAGAAAGAATAGCAGGAAATAATGTAGGGACTTACTTAGCTGTTTATTTTTTGATTAATTAATTGCTAAAAATTAAATGTATTAATTGCTAAAAATATGACAAAAGGGAATGTCGTGATTGTGCTTGATAGAATTCAAATAAACCATTCAAGCATGTCCGCGGCTGGTCAGCGAGAGCCGGCCAACCACAGGGCAGTCTTGTCTCCGGTAAGCAATACTGCCAGATGTGTGTTCGTGTGTGTTACTGTGGACTCATGAGACTCACCCTGTAGTACGCCGGTAAATAACTACAACTGTATGCTCAGTGTATGCCCCTGAAGTATTGTGAAAAACCACAAGCGTACTTAGGTGGAATCCTTGAAATAGTTATTCATGGTACCCGCTGCTACTTCTGATTCAAATCAGCCAGTCGACACCGGCAAGCTTGGTGGTCGAGTGGTTAAGACATCTGCACTAGTAAGAAGGAGGTCATGGGTTCGAGTCACACCAAAGTACGCTTTTTACATGTCAGGCAGGGAAAAAAATCCAAAATTAAGTCATAACGTGCAAGTCCAAATCAAGTCACTAGTCATTTTTTTGCAAGTCCAAGTCAAGTCCTAAGTAAAACAAATGATAGTTAAAAGTTGTGTCACGAATCACAAAAATAGAAACTCCAGACCGACTTGAGTCAAAAACAAGTGATCCAGTCTACAACTCTGTCCACACCATTCACTTATTGTCATTAACCGATTTGGTATGGTCTGCCAAACTGCATCAAAGACCAGTAATTACAGAAATTTCTTTATGCCTATTGCAATGGTGCAATCAACATATTTAATTCAGGTTTTTGCTGATAGTTTACATATTATGTAGGGAGGCATGATGGGTAATATAGAATACGGTTTTCTTCTCTCATTCTCAGGGCTCATTTATGTAGGGTTTTAGGTGTTTTGTATGTGTTTTTACTTACATCTTTTCTACATACACTGTTTTGGTATTGAGTTTATGTGCAAATAGTAACCTAAGTTTGTTTTTAGAACATTTAATTCTTTTGCCTTCAAAGTTATAAGTATTTTCAACTTGTACATCAGGAAGACCATTTTTATGTATTTCTTTTTAATGTCCGAAGAATAAATCTCTCAATATGATAATGTTTGCACAACAATTTTCCTATTCAAGAGTTCCTGAGGTGTGCAACCAGGGCTGAACTTTCAGGCTCTTTGGCCTTAGACTTTTTTTGGTCCAGAAACCAATGAATTTTGGGCCCATAGATCAAACAACATACCAAGTCTAAAGTTGATATTAAATGTGCTTCTAATGTTAAGGTTTGAGAGCTCTTTACTTGCTCATGTGCACGCATGCATGTTAGCACTGCATAGCTAGCTTAGGCTTTACTCTTTTTTTTTTTTTTTTTGAGGTAGTTTAGACAACTTGATGAAAAAGTCCACATAACACCACCTCTTCCTGGGTTGTGTAGACACGTTTTGCTCTCAGGTTCAGACATGGAATAGCATAGTTGTACACATCCCCAAACATAAAATATCACCAAAAAATCTCAAACAATATGAAAGAAAAGTGACTTTCATTAAACTCTGCACTTGAAAATTAGCTCAACTGTAAATATCATTAATGAGGGAAGAGGGAGCAAGCCTGGCAGATAGACCATGGCACAAAATGCTGGCATTAGCGTAGGTAATCCGTCGTTGTTTTGAAACAGCATACCATTTTTTGCGGCATTCAGAGCCCACAGATTACCAGTGGGGACAAACGCGCTACAGCACTCCATGGATGAGTGATACAATACCGCTGCACACTAATCTGGCCACATTTGTAAAGACAATGCGGTTTGGCGGGGCTCGTCCCCGGAAAACCCCCTTTGGCCGGGCGAGGATGGATGGGTCAATGGCCTGAGGGCGCGTAGCGAATCAGGCCACTTGTATTACGAGACAAGCAACCAATCACAACCTGCATTACATCGCACTGTAGGCAATTCACGCGTTTTCTCGGCCTCTTTTTGCTCACACCTTCGCCGAGCAAATCACGTTAAAAAAATTACCTCTCTTAATCTGCATCACTTGCGGTCACAATCTCAAGTGTTTTTTCATCGGTTTCGGGCATTCTGCACCTACGGCGATGGGGAATCGGGGCAGAAAACGGAAAGCGTGTAGCAGTACCGAACAGCGCAAGAAACGACAAATTCCAAGTCAGACACGCGCCCAAGCCAGGACCCTCCGGAGCTTGTTGGATCCGACATCGCTGTCACAGACTGGTGCGTCTGGTTCCCTACCTGCAGAGCGCCCGACACAGCCGGCCCGTGCTACCAGTTCACCGTCTGCTGCTACACAGGACTCTTCGACGAGGCAGTCCACCCCGAACTTGCGTAGCTCCACGGGCCGTAGTGCTGCCCGACAACCTAGTCAGCGGCTGCCACCGCAGCCAGCAAGTGCTTGTGGCTCCTTGTCTACAGCCACGCCGGCTAATCCGCACACAGGACGGAATGCAGCGGACTCACGAAACCGCCCTTCACCGCGGGTAATTCAAGAACCCTGCCGGGGGCCACCGGTCATGCCGGTGGAATCGGCGCACGCTACGGCCACTTCAACGCAGGTCAGCGTTTCCGCCGGCGGGGACAGCAACGCTTATCTTGACGTTGACAGAACATTGACCGCGGCCCAACTACGGCCCCACGGCGCCACGCAACCAGAGGGGAACATGGCGGTTCCCACTTATACCCAGTACCATGGCCATGCGGGGGTTACTCCAGCTAATGCCTTTCACCCCACCATGCCTACCTGGACCCAAGCAGCCGGCACTGGCAGCGCGGCAGCTCCTAACCCCACTCAAGCGCCACCCCACTCAGCATACCCAGGCACGACAGGAACTCAGGCTGACCACTCGGGGGCCCACATCACCCGAGACCAACCAAGTTCCCTCGCAAGTCCTCCGGCCCCACTTGGTGAGTACAGTGGGCGTGCAGTTCCACTTATGGGCACCTCTCCACAGCTTGCCCCGTCTATTTCTGCCGTAGGCCTAGAAAACCAAGCACTTACTGTGAATCCCACCACCCTTGCAGGGGTTGGGGAACCCCTGACATCAGTATGTGACCCCCTTGGGTGTTCAGTGCCAACCGCCATTAAAGAGAAAATTGTCAAAGGCGAGTTTGTAGAATTAGATACACTGCTCGATCGCCATGTGCCAAGCCCGTCTAACCCCAACCTCACACTGAGCGTGGACAAATCAGGCCAAATTTGCTTCAAAGAAGCTAAGACAAAATACCAGATTTCATCCATCCTTTCCTGGACGGATGCTTTTCTCACATTCATGTCTGTATTTTTGGATGCTCACCCCAAAAGAACTCAGGAGTTGTTGAAATACATACACATTGTGAGAATGGCTGCCGCTCGGTTTGGGGGTCGGGGTTGGCTCGAGTACGATCGGCAGTTTAGGTTGAGGCAACAGTCACACCCCAGCCGGTCATGGTCAGTCATTGATGGCGAACTGTGGGCTTTGCTTGTTGCCGCCCCTTGGTCACAGTATGCAAGCACGGGGGGGTCGGGGGGCCCCTTTAACACAGCCAAGCGCTTTCCTCATTCCTTTCGTGGGACCTTTAAGCAGCCATCCAACCCCACAAGTCTCTGCTTTGCCTTCAACCGTTCGGGGTGTGCCCGTCCCCATTGCAGATACTTACACAAATGCTCATCCTGCCAAGCAACTAACCATGGGGCAGCATCATGCAAGGGCGCCACCAAGCCAAAAGCTGGTGGCCACTAAGCTAGTTCCCAATTTGTCCAAGGCAGTATGTGGGCCCTGCCTTGCAGGTCCCCTTTGTGTGTGCTGCCTCGCTCATACACCAATACAAATATCCACACTACTACGACTTTTAGTTGGGTATCCTAATAAGAAAGCGGCCGACTTGTTGCGTAACGGATTTACTGAGGGGTTTAGGTTGGGTTTCAGTGGGTCGCGGGTGGCCAGGGATGCCCCAAACTTACTATCGGTCAGGGAAGCCCCCTCATTGGCCTTTGATAAACTAATGAAAGAAGTTCAACTGGGCCGTATGGCGGGGCCTTTCTCAACAAAACCTATAGAGAATCTTCGAATCTCCCCCATTGGCCTTGTTCCTAAGGCTGACCCTGGCGCATTTAGGCTAATTCATCACCTTTCCTACCCTGATTCCGATTCTGTGAACAGTGGCATAGATAGGCAGCTGTGCACAGTGCAGTACACTAGTTTTGATGAAGCAGTAGGTATCATAGCTGGGGCAGGCCCTGGTGCCTTACTGGCCAAGGCGGATATAAAATCAGCCTTTAGACTCATACCCATACACCCAGAGGATTTTTGCCTGCTTGGCATTAGAGTTTTGGACAAAGTTTTTGTTGATAAAACCCTTCCCATGGGAGGCTCAGTGCCCCCGCTTACTTTGAATCTTTTTCCACGTTCTTAGAGTGGGTAGTATGCACTCGTGTAGGGGAGGGTCACGTATGTCATTATGTAGATGATTTTTTGTTCATAAGCGGGGCATCCGCGCAAAGCAGTCTCTCCTGTCAGAGCGTGCTCAACTGTTTTGTTGACGTGTGCGCAGACCTTGGGGTCCCCTTAGCCCATGACAAGACTGTCGAACCAACCACTAAATTAACCTTCCTTGGGCTCGCGATTGATACCGTGTCACGGCTTGTGTCCATCCCCCAAGAGAAACTTCCTGCCATGAATGAAAAAATTGAAACGGCCCTGCGGTCAACCAAAATCTCACTCAAGAACCTCCAGTCCCTCATTGGCTCCTTGTCATTCGTCTGCCGTGCCGTAACCCCAGGCCGCGCTTTCCTTCGGCGCCTGGTTGACTTATCTAAAGGCATAAAGAAACCCTGGCACATGATCCGGCTTTCAAAGGGGGCTAAGGACGACTTGCACATGTGGCAAGTCTCCCTTCGGGACTTCAATGGGAGTACCATCATTCCTGACCAGTTTTGGCTTATTAATGGCGATGTGCAGTTGTTCACAGATGCTAGCAGCACAGTGGGATTTGGGGGTTACTTTCAGGGACAATGGTTTAAAGGTGTATGGCCCTTACAAACCAAGGCCAGCAAGCCATCTATAGCATGGCTGGAATTCTTTCCAGTGGTGGTGGCCATCACACTTTGGGGTCAGCAACTCAAGGGTAAGGGCATCCTGATCCGATCGGACAATGCGGCAGTGGTGTCCATCATTAACTCGCAGTCGTCCAAGTGCCCTCAAATAATGAAGTTAGTCAGGTTCTTTGTCCTCAAATGCCTCAATAGCAATGTTTCATTCAGGGCTAGACATATACCTGGGGTAAAAAATGACATAGCAGATGCCCTATCCCGTTCGCAGATGGCACGGTTCCAGGCGTTGGCTCCACAGGCGGCTTGCCAGGGCTCCGAGGTCCCCCCGGTTTTATGGTCTCTGTAAATGAGGAAGCAATGCGCTTATTGGGGGCGTCTTTTTCCGCCAGCACGTGGGGGTCCTACTCCAGGGGTGCGGAACGGTTCCGACAGTTCAGATTGCAGTCCGGGCTCCCTCAGCTATGGCCTGCACCATGTACTCACATTGCCGCCTTCATTGCATTCCTATCCTTGGAGGGCCTTGCCCCCTCCACAATTGGTACGTACTTGGCAGCAGTGGCATACATACATAAGATCAATAACTGGCCCGACCCCACTGATAATTTCCTGGTTCATAAACTAAGGGAGGGCTGCCGGAGATTGGGTCGTTCAACAGACACAAGGCGCCCCATTACAATCGACCTTCTAGGCAAAATTTGCAATATCCTTGGTGCCACTACGTCCTCAATCGATGAAGCAGCCTTGTTCCGGGCTGCCTTCCTGCTCGCATTCTTTGGTTTCCTTCGGGTGGGGGAATTTACAGTGTCTAGAAAATCTGATGATCAATCTCGAATCCTGAATTACAAGGATGTGTGGGTCTTAGGTTCAACTCCAGAACTGTTGGTTATTAAGCTGAGGTTCTCCAAAACTGACCAACGGGGGGAATCGGCAGAATTACAATTTCACAGACAACCTCATTCGGCTATCTGCCCTGTGGGTGCCACACTCCAGTATTTGCAGGTGCGCCCTAAGGTGGCTGGCCCATTTTTCTGCCACTTTGACCATTCACCTTTGACCACTTATCAGTTCAATCGCATGCTACGTGCTTGTTTAGAGGCACTAAACTTGTCCCCCCAGGGTTTTAGTTCACATAGTTTCCGCATAGGGGCTGCCACCTCTGCAGCTCTCAACGGGTTCTCCATAGTGCAGATCCAACAGCTCGGCCGTTGGCGTTCCCATGCAGTCAAACTGTACATAAGGCCAGACAAAATTGGTTAAAACACACGCTAGTTGGCCCCTTGTAACTTTGCACCATTTCTTCGGTCATTCCCATGTACCCCCTCCCATACCCATCTGCTGCTTGGTGTTTTTCTTATTCCCTCGCAGGTTCTATGCGTACTTGGGTCGTTGGGGACAGTAATGTCTTCAGGGCAGGTCAGGGTGCCCCGCATGGGCCGTTTGGACCCCTCACTTGGCTTGGAGTGCGGGGCGCTAGGCTCTCCACTCTAGTTCCATCCATTCGCGGCCACCTGAAACGAATGCCGGCACCTAACACCGTCATTGTGCATGTGGGCACCAATGACATATTCTCCACGCCAACAATGCAAATTCGAAGTAGGATAGAGGAGGGCCTCCACACCATCAGACACTTGCTACCCAATGTAAGAATTATCTGGTCGGACATCCTCTTGAGGCTTTTTTACTATGGGGAATGCCGTCCTGGCGTGGGTCAG